CATAAATTCTGTAGAAGCATCACACTCGGGAGGCGGAATTCGCAGTGTATATGGGCCTTGTAAAGGAAGAAAATTGGGAGTTGCAAGTTTTAACATTGGATTAAAAGAGAATGTAAGACATTCATCACTTTGGTAAATATGGTAAACTTTACTGCAGTTAAGTTTCTTTTACTCGGTTTATTCGCAGCTTTCAGTGTTGATTAAATTTGAAGCTATTCGAAGCTTTCAGGTACCACTAGAAAGTAAAATTAATATTTTCCATTTCTGAATCTCTTGATTCCGAAGCCTATTTAAACTAAGACAGGTAATTCGCAATCACCGTAAAGTTTGAGGGTGACTGGTTTGTAGAGGTATTTAAGTAGAACAGGAGTTGCATGAAATCTAAATTATGGTGCAATTAGTCCTATGAATACAATAATGATGTCACACACGATCTCTTTCCAGAGTGCTTTAATAGACACAGAATCAGCAAACCGACCTCTGTGTCTAGGGGGAAACTGATACCCCAGACCATTATGGTGAAGCAACGTCATCTTGTGGAAAGGATTGCCCAATTTTTCGAGAAACTTGCAAAACTCAGCGCCGATGTATGGCTCGTTATGCAATTCCGGTTTTAATAGAAACAATGCTTAGGGTCAGAACTTAATATTCACTGTTTTTTTTTTCCTAGATGTTTAAATTTTTGTGCTGTAACTGAATGTCCCACAGTATACTTTGGAAAATTCTATAAAATGTGTAAAATGTATTTGTAATGTGTACTGTTGAAAAATATATGTGCTGCAGTAAAGTAATTTGAGTGTTTGAAATTCTGTAGGGTTTCTTTAGATTTCTGTGGACGCGAGACAATATCAAGCCTCTTTGTAGAATAACCGTGTCTCTAGATCTTCTAATAAAAGTTTCAACAGACTTCGTCAATAGTTTTGTTTTAGATTTTATAAACAGCTAGATCCGAGGGATTAAGGAAGGGTGTAATGTTAGGAGGTAAGACAAATAGCCTAGACCAGCTGAAATTCATCAAGAGGACTAAAAGGCATTGTCCAAAATCAAGACTGCTTTATGGGGCATTTCCATCAGAAAATAGTTTAATACTTAACACAAACTCATCAAGGAACCAGAGGTTCAATACTGTTGAACACATTAAAGTGCTTTTTTTTTTGTTTGTATACATTGCATAAAAATTATCGGCATTCACAGTTTTTAACGCCGTTGGCTTTTTGTTTCTTTCCTATCAATAAATGCTTAAGCTTTTTATCCTTAGATTTGTTCGCACATGCAAAAATCATTACCATTTGTTTACTTCGTTTGTAACCAGGGGTCGATCATTCTTGTTTTTGTGCTAGTATCTTTCCCAGTACACTTTAAAATTGAGGCCCGTTTTGTCACAGCTATCCATTTACTGTCGACCTAGGTTTTTCCTGAATGATGTTATCCAATTGGGTACAAAGCCGTGTAAGCCATTGCATCTGAGTTAGCTGATAAACTGGCTTAGCAGTGTTTAAATGTCATAAGCCATATACCGTTTTTGCTAAAGATCGAGCCACCCTAGGCTGCCTGTGAATTCTCTTTCGCCGACTTTATAACACAAGAAAACGTTTAAAGTCTCATCATTCATGTCGAATCAGAAAAGCGGGCTTTTTTTTTTCTTTGCGGCATTATCGTCTTCAGTATAATGTGAACGCTAAGTCATTCATTCTTTGATTTCTTTGACTAAAAAGTCTTCACTAGCCAACTGTCATTGCACCAATGCCTAAACCACGAGCTACATGTTTTAAAGGTTCATCCCGATCTAGCCCGTTAATTGCAGCAAGCTTTTCTTCTAATGATAAAACCACACGTTCTCATCTATCTGTCTTTGTTCATCAAGCAATCACTATAACACCAGAAAAAGAGGACGGGCGAAGTCACTCACGCTGTTTTATTGTTGAACAATTAGCTACGCTAGCTCCATAATCTGACTTTTACAGTCTGAAAACTGTAAACCAGTTGAGTTTTTACTCTAATTGCGCAAGACTCGAGGCAGCGGACAACAAACTTAGTAGCAATCAGTTTCGTATCTTTATTGTTTGAGTAATAGCACAAAAACCCAAGTTTACAGATTAATTTACTTTTGCGGAAGGCTATTTCAACAACTTTTGTTACTTTATTTCTTGCATTGGGCTCTTATAACATCGAATCTCGGTTGCCGAAAACTCGGATAATCGAGATTCTACTTTTCAGTGGAGGGGATGAAGTCAGCCATACGACAAAAAGTATTCAGTTTTGATAGTACTGCCTTTAAGTAGAATAAGGTAAGAAGTGGACATTGCATGCACTATTCGTTTGGTTAAATGGAGCTGTATTTTTCAAGTTCCTCCAAATTTCAGAATTGTTCCATGTAGATACATATAAAAAAATGCAAAAAAAAAAAAAAAAAAAAAAAAAAAAAATTACAACTTTACCAATGGATCCCCGCTCTAGTCTTACCAACAAAAAAAGGGATTAAAGCACTGTAATTGTGGTGTCTCACACCTACGTTTACTTGCACGTCTGTCGCCACTAAGCTCATTACAAGTGAAAACGAAATATAGTGAGCTGTAAAATTCTGCTATGACATTACAGTTCAGTTTACTTCTACTCATCTGTGTGAGAAAGAGCTTACATCAACAGGGACAGGGAAAAGTGGACGGAGCACCAGAACTTCGTCAGTGACTTTTACAGGTTAGTGAAATCGACTTGATGTGTATGGTACTCTCAGGCGAGCATATATCCAAATGCAGATCAGTGGCGCACTAATTCATAGGGAATTTTATCCAAAAACTCATGTCTTTGAATTTTTAAAAACGAATACGAATTTTCTTCTGCTAACTTAATTGTTTAATATCCCTATACAATTTAATTTTAATTAATTTCATTTTAAAACAATATAACTAGTAAAATGTATGTTTTAAAGTATTTTAGAAGATGACAAGAGAAAAATTATCTGCAGAATACCTTATTAATAAAAGTAGTCTCCACATGAAAAACGTTTCAGAATGTTTTAGAAAAAACATTCGCTCTTAGTATGCTCCAAAAACCGTTTCAATAATGCCCTTTACTTTACAGATGGGCAGTTTCTTCAGTACTAAAAAATACATATTGCGAAGTATCACTGCCACAAATGCGTTCGTAAAATTTCAACTACATTTTGGCAAACAGATCATATTTTAAGTTCAGATGCGTTCAAAGCAGAAATTTTCGGTTGAGAGGTTTTCACAATACTACAAGTTTAGCATTTGATCGATATATAAAGATTTCAGTGGATTTACGATTTTTACTTTTATTATCACGTCTTTGTAGCAAAATGAAAACTTCACCTAAAATGATTGCCTTTTTGAGCGATGCATTATCAACCGACGGAAATTGAATTTTGGCTCCGTGTGATGTATAAAATGCTAAAGATTTATCATATATTGAAGTGTTTCCCTTATATTGAAATATCCTTAGGATTTTGGCTGAATGGTGCATGCAAGGCATGTTGCCTTCATGATAAAAACTGAATTTAATTATCAGGATCAAATATTTCTATTTCTGTGATATGAATATTTTAGCATGTATTTCTGTTTATTTTGAGTACTACATCTGTCAAATCATTAGCTGTTTCAGAGTATTAGAAACACCAAAGTCTATTATAGTTACCTCTGATGTGCAGAGGTAAAGAAATGCTATTTTTTTATCCAATCTACCCATCCGCAGAGGAGACACTTTCGAGTGCGGCCCTAAGTTGGACAGTGCGATTTAGCTCAGTTCCACCTTCAGTTTTGATGGAGAGCTCCCCGAGAGGGGGGCACGGGTACGAGGGTCTCCCCTTCCACCAAATCCCAAGAGAGGATTTTCGGCTTGCCGCATATTTAGGGTGCCGCCATACCGCACCGGCACTATACATTTACAAACATCCATGTCTTCTCCGGAGTTCGAACCCAAGCCCCCCTTCGGCACGGCAGCCAGCGACGCTAACCACTATACCGGTTGGGGGGCCAGAAATCGTACGTAAAATCTTAGAATACAACTTGGGACCCAGAGCTTAAAAGAAATACACAGGAGTAACAGAAAAATTTAAAAATTCATTACTGAATACGCTGCAGAAGCTAAGGAGAAAAGAATTGATAACCTTAATACAAATGACGGCTCACTTTGGCAGTATCTAAAAAATATGAAAAAGAAAAAGGTTTCTAGCAGGTATATTTACGCAGATAGTACTAAGCATATTCACTGCAGTAAAAATTTGAAGTACTTGCTAAACAGCTAGAAACCCAGCTTTCTCGAAATAGTGATCCGATGAAGCGTGTGTTTAAGTGCACTGTTGTAAACTACGTCTAGAACTGGTTCCACGCCTCGTCAGCCTCAAATTTACTTTAGTTTCGTCGTCTAAGACGCAAAATATTATCAAATACCTGAACACTAGGACGGCACCGGGGTTAGACAGCTTAATGAATTTAATGTGGAAAAATTTCCCAAGAAATGCTGTAAGTAAATTAACCAATATTTTAAATGCCTGTCTTATAAATAACTATTTTCCAGACCAATGGAAGAGAGCAAAGATATTTTTACTTCTTAAGCCAGGTAAATATGTTATCATCTTTATCACCAGACGAACAGTATGGTTTTCGAAAAAACACTAGCACTACGAAGCAGTTCGTTAGGATCTTCTAATTTATTGGTGCGGAATTTCAAATAAACAATGTATTGCTTCCTTATCTCAGACGTGGCGAACGCGTTTGACAATCTTGGCTTGAGGAGCTCACATACAAAATTATTCAGCTCGAGTAGATCGCAGAAATAGTTCTCAGATCTCTTATCAAAACGTCTCTCTGATCTTATGCCCTGCTCCCTTATCAGGCAGCTGGCTCCTCTTTACCCCTGCGGGCATGTACTGCGCACCGCCTCCTGATCCTGAAACCTATATTTCACGCAAATGAAGTATTTGATGTTTAGTGATTAAGCCTATTGTCTGAAAAATTTAATTAAAGAAACAATACAGAAAGTGTTTCCCGTATCCAACCTTTATCTTTATTTATTTATTCAAATGGAAGCAAACAAACATCAGCATTCGACCAGCGACACTGAAATTTATTTTATCTACATTGATTTCAACTCCATAACAATTAATAGACATTATAACAAACATCACAAAACATAAAAAAGAAAGATTGTACATTTATAAACATTTCATACAACTCGGAGTATATAAATTTTAATTGCAAAATTTTGATTTCCTTGTAACAATTTTATGAAATAATTTTTAAGCCAAGATAGGTATTTATGTTAATAAAATAAAATGTTTGTATAGAAATAAATTTTTTATATGAAGAAAAATTTAATACTCATTAAAACATTGCTAAAATTTGTAAAAATTTGGAACACGCTTCATTATAAGGAAAAGCAAAATTATCATTTAAAAGCTTTCGAATATAAATAATGCAGTATTTTAACTCGTAAATTTTATTCACATTTTATATATGCAATAAACCAAATTAAATAATTAATTTACTATCTAATATAAACAAAATTTCTATACTGTATGCTTGAATGAATTAAAAAGGAACTTAATAAACATCAACAAATATATATTTATATATTTCATGGTCTTTCCGCTGTTCAAAATACATAAATTTATTTTCATCATCATTTCCTATTCTATTTTCTTGCTTTAATTTGTTTTCTTCATTAAAGGAAGAAAATATACACTTTTCGTTAAATAAATGGAACATGCAAGATAGAAATCATATTAAACGAAAAAGAGTTTTTTTTACATCAGAGAAACATCATTATAACTTTTCGTAAGTAAGAAAATATAACGATACATAAATTCAATTCAAACATGACTCTTCAGATTAAAGTAAAAATAATATATTCACCGGAACATAGAATTTATATTTTCGATTCATAAAATTGCATAGATTTTTTTTCTCGTAATGCCCCTCAGTCATAAAAAAATAATAAAATAGAGGCTCCATTGCTTTCAGTGATGATCTATTGGCATCAGTTTAAATAGCCTTTACATTTACAAACCGAATATAAATATTGTAGATGCTTCAGACTGAATAATACATGATGCAGGCATGCATTTGTTTGTCGTGCATATGCAGGTATGTTACAGGCTTAGTAAAGGCACTTGCAGTTTATGACTTATATATCATTTGAATATTTGTACAAAATTTTATGGATATTAAAAAAGGCATTAATAAACACGTTTAAAGTTAGTTCTTCAGCGATATATTGTCTTAGTGCTTCAGAGTCGGCTATTTTCTTTCACTTAGGGAGTGCCAGATTAAAAGTATTTACACACCCAAAAATACTTATTCAGTAAGGTGAGAGATAATTCATCAAAAGGAAAGGCTATGATGCTGAAACAGTAACTCATAGATTGAATATAACAAATGGCACTCACAATTTAAGGACACTTAAAAGATGTTCGTAGCACATAATTCCAATGCACTACGTGTAATAATAGATCTTTTGATTACATGGTTATATCGTCACTCAAGGGAAGGCTGTCACCATCCGATTCCAGAATGAGATCGAATGAGTCGTCAAGGAGTCCGGCGCAGTCGTCTACGGAGCCCAACCCTGCCCCCAGGAGGTCCATAGGATCTATAGTATCCATGACAGAGTGTTGGGACACCATCCCATCGTGTACCCTGTCATTAGGAGGATTTCCGCCGCCGGCAGCGTCAGCCTGTTTCAGAATTTGAGTGAGAGCTGCTATGTAGTTCACGGCGAGCCTCAAGGTGGTAATCTTGGTGAGTTTGGTGTTGTCTGGACCTTTTTTGGTGGGAAACTGGGGTACAACTTTACGTAGGTGTTCGAAAGCCTCATTGATTTCTTGCATTCGAGTGCGTTCACGAGCATTGGCCGTCCTCCTCCTATATTTGCTGAGAGGAGCTGGTTTCTGTTTCGGTTTTGGTGTTTTCTTCGCGACTTTGCGCCGGATTTCTGTTTCGATTCTGTTTTTAATGGATCTCTGCCGTAAATTATAGTTAGGCAATCGTACAGGTATGCTTTCTAAGTTCTCTGGTACAACTGAATCGTCCATAGAAGAACATGATTCTGCTGGTTCAATGTCTGGAGTTTTCTGACTTAACGATGGCATCGGGGAACATTGAGGAATTTCTAATGACTCTCCACCGTCGTCCAGTCCAATATGATGATCTTTGGATGTAAATATGGAACTGAAATCGAAGCTAGTTTCGACAAACTTTGGTGTATGTAGGACATTGTCTTCCATGGTAAATGTTGTGCTTACAGCCATTGTTGATATACGTACTTAGAGCTCGAAATGTGCTTTCAAGTCACGAGTGTGAACAAGGTTCTCAATATGCGTTGAGAGAAACAAAAAGATTTGAATCTGAGGTACTAATCCGCATCAAAAACTAAATAATTTCTTGCGTACATGCACCGCAACGATGATTGTGTGACCAGACATCTGATCAATCGTAGAGAATCACCTGTAACTTTGGCATTCAGAAGCTTTTGATGAATTTTTAAACAGGAATCTGCAAAGAAAGGAGTTGAAGGATATTAATTTATAAAACAGATTTCGCACAGCAAGATCAACAATACATAATAAACTTATTGATTATACGAATGATGATTACCTACGTGTACCTAAATTGTTAAAAGAAAAAAAATCTTAAAGCTATACTCACTATAAACTATAACCTTATAAATAATATTGATAAACTAAGAAAAAATAATATGTAAATTGTGCATATCAAAAAAGATAAGAAAATATTAATTAGTTGGGCTAAACAGATTTTGTATTGCAAATTCCACTATATTTGATAAACTTATGAATATATATATCGAACGAGATGCGTTTTATACAAATAGAGAAATAAATAATCCTGAATCTATTTTTACATAAGAAATGGTATAATATCGTATAAGTGAACAAGAAGATTTGAACTTATTTCTACGTTTGAGAATGTTTGAGTTTGGCTTGAACTACATGGCACTAAAATAAACTGAACTTGGAAGAATTTTACACAATTGGGTATATATTGCATATTTTGCTAATATGATCTGTCGCGTGGTGTATTTTCTATCGAAATGTAAATAATCGTTAAAATAAGTCATCAAGAGCTTTATTTACTTCAAAGTAAAAAACTTTTTTAAGAGATAAAATATTTTTGTGTAATAAAACAATATATAGTGGTGATATGTATTTTGTAAAAAATAAAGATGCACATTCTGAGGTGATATATTTTATGACATTGTTATATATGTTAAAAACAAACTATCTCCCATTGTAAGGTTGTTTTTAACACAGCATAAATATTTTGCTAAATTTCTCTGAACCTGAAATCAGAGCAAGCCCATGAAATTAGGAGTCAAGATTGCACCTGTCGTTGGCAAGATCCTTGTTCACCATACAGGTGACAGTAAGAATTTACTCAGTTCCACCCCCCCCCAATTTTGTAGGAGAGCACCCCGAAGGAACGTGTCCAGCGGTCTTCCACCTCTTTTTCATCTACCACCAACCACTCGAAACGACTTTCAGCTTGCACTATATATAGAGTGCCCCCATGTGGCACAGACACTATACATTAACAAACATCCATGTGTTCTCCGTATACCGGTTGGGCGGCTCAGTGCATTTTAAATTCTATGATATACTTACGCATGCCATCTATATCTGAAAATACCACCAAGAGAAACACCAAAGACATCTCCAAGAAAAGCTGACATTTTCACAGACAGACAGCATGTTTTAAAAAAAATATCATTTTCATATTTTTTTTAAAAAGTGGATAATTTATTAAGGTAAAGCATAAACAGGTGGCTAACTTCGAGAAAGGACACTCCGTGGAAGATCTTTCAACTAAAATTGTATTGTATTAAAATTACTTATGAATAATTTTATCAAAAAATCTAGTGCGGTATGTTAGGAACTCCCGACTTTCAATATAACCATTTCTGCTGGTCACATCAAAAGGTAAGATAGCATCACTTTGAAAGATTTTCAAAAGCAACTTATAATAAATATTTTCCACTAATATCTCGGGATTTCCATTAACTCTTTAGTTTTACTGTGTAGCTGATTATTCAGAAAATTAAAAGCATAGAAAATTAATGGATTTTTTAATTTTGTAAGAAAAGCAATAAGTAGCCACTACCCATATCCTTACATCTAAAATCAGATAACCCGACCTTTGGGTTGAATCTCTCACCTTTTAACCCTAGGACTCATACGTTCAGGAATAAGTGGCGCAACATTCTCAACACCACTTTCAGATAGCAGGCGAATGCTAAAAGACCAGGGCTAAACTTCACTCATAATTAAAGGGCGTAATCCTTCTTTCTGGGGCGTAGGGGCGAGGCTCTTAGATCGTGACCACTGGGTGCTATGAAAGGGCCCGCGTCGAATAAAAATGAGGACCACTGAAGTAATTAAATGAATGCCTTTATGAAGAGAATCACTTGGTAATTTCTGTTTGTCCTGAAGAACTCCAGCTAAACGATTGCTGGTAACACCCTCTAATATAGGGGTTAAATGTTAAAGTAACGGAAAGGATTTTATAACAACACTCTTGCGTAACATCCACTAAAAGTTCTCGGAAAACGTTTTGGAAAAGCCAATTTCCATATACATACATATATACTTATATACATATGTGTATATAACCTTGTAAAGTTAAGTGCAACTGCTTTTCCGTAAGTAAAGAAAAATGATACGTATTTTATGTAGATTCATGAGTTTAATATGCGCATTTAAAATGCATGATTGTTCTACAACCGAGAACATAACATATATATAGCTTTAGAAATGCTTTCTTTTACTACGTATTCTAAGATTTTAAATGCTTATTTTATGGAACTCATTAATAAGCTGTATTTTAAATTTTAATGAATAGACATACTGTCAATAAATAGGTAACATAAGAAAAATATAATTAATATACTTGTATTGCTTAATGACTTTTAATTTATTTCTCTGGTATGAAGTGTACTGTTAAACTGAAAGGTCAATTAAATAATTTCTGTCTCACGGCTAGGCAACAGGATAATGCGTAGATAGCTATAATGCGTGATCTATGAATCTTTGTACTAGCGTAATATAATACAACATCATTTAAAAAAGAAAGCTAGCCAATTTATTGCCCCTTAAAGAAAGGGTTATTGCTTGTCACTTCAATTTTAGAATATGTGTGCCTAATTTAAAACATTGTGGTTTTTCATTCCCTCATAACTTTGCGCTTCATGGTTATGAGCTTCACTGTTTTATATATATATATATATATTTTCAAATTTCATCTGTCATACTTAACTGAGTAATTTATGCTTTCACTGAGCCGATTTTTTTATGCTTTAAAACTGTAGTTAAAATATAATTTTTGATTGTAGCTTAATAACATTATATCAATCTATGATTATCTCTTAATAACTTTAAATCTATCATTTCTTATTTATTGGATCCTAGAAGACAATATTTTGTAAATTGTTTGATAGAAAATAACTAATCATATAATGTTTTAAAAATATGTTTTGCAAGACTGTTTAAAGACAGTCTGCTAATATGTCGTTTTATTTAATGTACATTGCTATAAATAAGGCAAGTTAAAGTCCATGGAACGCTAAAGGTCAATAGGACGGAAAAACTTTCTATACTCTTAGGTGCAATCTAGTAAAAAGGTCTAGCAGTCTCCTCAGAAGCATTCTATGTAAAAAGTCCTACTTCAATTTGAATTTAACAATAAATAAATAAATAAATATTCATTTTATTTCATTTGATAATTATTAGAACAAATATTCCTTAGAGACATTTGGTTCACTAGCGGCCAAGCGGTAAAACTGCTGAACACTAAGAGTTCAGACCTGAGTTTGAATCCAGGCGAAAGGGCTGGCTGCATGGATGTTTTCGAGGTTTCCTCCTTTGTGTAACGTGCATATGAGTCAGTTTCCCTTGTGTGTTTTGCCATAATAACAAAAAAAAAATCTTAAAGATATTTATAAATTTAGAAATCAATTAGAATACGTGCAGCTTAAACAACGCAACAGTAAGTTCGTTATCTACAGTAAGTCATATGAGATAAACTCACGTATGCAAGAAAAACTGCCCAAACAAAAATATAAAACAGAAAATATGAAAAATATAAGTTCATATATGATGTGCATTTCGTGAAAAATCATAGCGTTCATATTCCTTGGCATACAATGCGAAAATTTTGATGGCAGTAACATTTATTTCCAGTAAGTAAATACAATATTATAAAGATAATTGCAGCATCTTTTATTTAAATTTGCCTTAAGCAAATGCAATAATTATTTTCCTTTTATAATTTCTCTATAATTTCAAATAAATGCAAAAAGTTTTAAAAAACGAGATAATTCTAGCTGTTGTTCGCATGTTAGATGCGCATTTGGTAGAAATTCTTTTATATGTAATGCAAGATAATTTATTTCGAAATGAGGAATGCTTTTAACCTACCCTATATATTTTTTGCACATTTATCATTTTTACAACTTGAAAATCAGTTTACTTCCTTCTGAATTCAGCACATCTTACATATACAGGTAAGATTAAAAAAAACTTTTTAATCTAACAAGCTTGTCCACCTCCACAACAGAATTTCTAAACACAAAAAATCCTCAATCATCCTCAGATTACTTTGGCATATTCCATCACTCCAGGGTGCGGATTTGAGTCACTGCCACGAAGCACATCTAGAAATCGAAATTGAGATTGTTCCTTTCGCTCCGTGTGCTAACCAGAGTGTAACCAGAACCGGCCGGAGTGGGTGTGCATAGGGTACCTAACACAAATCTCTCAAATCCGTCTTTCTTATTCACTGTTGACGCCCTTCTTATGACGTCACAAGGTCATGTAGTTCCATCGTGGTTTATGGTGGTTTAAGGGTTTTAACCGCCCTCCTTCTCATTCTGAGATGTACGTATGCTGTTATGATTCTTATTATAAAGCCATGAACTAAGATGAATTGTATTCTAGAGCAATTTAGTTTTTGACCTTAAAGAATGACCCTTACCAAGAATCATTTCACGTATCATAGGGTTTTCGAAACAGGCTTTGTTCGATAAGTATAAAGCACTGTTTACAGTTTGGTAATCTTTCCATTTTCTTCCTTCCAAAGTGCCAATAGCCGATGTATATTATTATTGGTACAGCAAAAAGCATTTTTTTTACAATCATTTCCGCTTTTGAGCAGTGAACTACACTTAGTTATATATAACGATATGTTCCTTCGCAGTGCTTTAAAAAGGTTTATTTAATATTCTGCTAAGTATTTTGAATCGTTTTTTTTTTTCTTTCAAAACAATGAGGAATACTATTATAATGTGTTTAAGGTGCACTTCTGTTAATTACAGGGTACAGCTATTATTATACATATACTTGTGTACATATTTCAAGGAAATAATACATGCAGATCAAATTTTACTGTAGGAAATTTTATAATGAAAATCTGCTCTCAAAAAACCAAAACAAATATTACGTAATAATAGTAACTATAATTAATATAATAATTACTTACAAAAT